CCCATAGATAGACCTGGCCGGGTTATCCTTTTTCTGAAGATCTTTATGCTGATCATATGCCGGCTTGTGTGTGGCGGCCCGTGTTGCTCTTGGCCTGTCATCTGGTCGTCTATCCGGCCAGGCGGCCCCTTTCTTTTTTGACTGCGGGGGCTCGAAGGCCTCCTCGTCAAATTCCGGCAACAGCTTGCGCTTCGGGTAGCTCTTTGTCTGGTGACTAGTGCCATATTTATCTGCGGTGTTGAGTACTTTGCTCCATCTCATTCTGAGTGTGTCTTCCGCTTTTTTGAGCTTCCGCTTTTGCTTCTTCAAACTTCTTGCAGTGGCAACGAGCCTGTTATGGAGATTCATATGCTCTGGTGATGTGAGATCGTCTTCGCCGGGGATGGGTTGCTTGTCCGGTTCATGTCCGGCTGGCTGCTTGTTGACGTGTGCGTCGTCCACTGCTTCGCCCTGCTCTAGGGCCGGGTCCATATGGGTACCGTTTTTGTTGATGCCGGTCTTCGGGCGGCGCTTGCGTCGCCGCTTTGTTTGTCTGTTGGGGGAGTTGTCCTTCGCCACGTCCCGTTTTCCTCATTGTCGCTTCCTTTTGGTGTGTCCACCATGCATACGTTGTGGGATGGGGTGGCTTTCCTGTGCCCGTTAGGCGCTGGTTCTTGGTCGTCCCCGGCATCGTCGTCCATACCGTCGATGTCCTCGGAGTCGTAGTCTAGCATGTCAGTTAAATCGTCGACAGTGGCTACCAAGTGGATGGTGGGTGGGCTCTGAATTTCTTCGTCGTCCGCATCCCAACCGTCCTGGCCGCAGTCCGGCCAGGCCTCTCCTGATAACGAGAGGTACTTTAGCGAACTCAAGATGTCGCCAAAAGGTGAGTGTTGAAAGATGTCCGTCGCGATAAACTCCATGATCGGCGCCCAATCGGATTCGACTGGAGGGGGCGCGGGAGGTCCGGAGTCCGGCAAGGAGTCTGGCACCTCGGAGTCACGAGCTTCATGGGGGAAAGATCGGTGTTCGGCTCTATCGCCATGGAGGTTGCAGCCCCCGAGGCGGTGTCTAGGCATCCATCCTCGATCCGCGGAGCTGGCTCCGAATTGAAGATCGGAGTGGTTTCGAGTGCGGCCTCCAGGGTACTGTCCGGCGGCAGAGCTAAATCATGCTCGACGTGACAATGCGGCACGCTCGGCTGTGGCTTGAATCCGTCGAAGATCAAGTCCCCGCGGATGTCAGCCGTGAAGTCCAAACTTCCAAATCTGACCTGACGGCCAGGGGCGTAGCCTTCGATCTGCTCCAGCTGGCCAAGCGAATTGGCCCGCAGTGCGAAGCCGCCGAATACAAAGATCTGTCCGGGGAGGAAGGTCTCGCCCTGGACTGCATCGTTGTTGATGATCGAAGAAGCCATCGAGCCTGTCGGTGACGACACAGAGGAACTCTCAATGAAAGCACCAATGTCGGTGTCAAAACCGGCGGATCTCGGGTAGGGGGTCCCGAACTGTGCGTCTAGGCGGATGGTAACCGGAGACGAGGGACACGATGTTTTTACCCAGGTTCGGGCCCTCTTGATGGAGGTAAAACCCTACGTCCTGCTTGATTAATATTGATGATGTGGGTTACAAGAGTAGATCTACCACGAGATCAAGGAGGCTAAACCCTAGAAGCTAGCCTATGGTATGATTGTTGTTCTTCCTATGGGCTAAAGCCATCCGGTTTATATAGACACCGGAGAGGGCTAGGGTTACACAGAGTCGGTTACAATGGTAGGAGATCTACATATCCGTATCGCCAAGCTTGCCTTCCACGCCAAGGAAAGTCCCATCCGGACACGGGACGAAGTCTTCAATCTTGTATCTTCATAGTCTTGGAGTCCGGCCGATGATGGTAGTTCGGCTATCCGGACACCCCCTAGTCCGGGACTCCCTCAGTCCACATGCTTAATGTTCGATAACGATTGTTATTATGAGTTTATGTGTTTTGATGTACCAAAGATAGTTCAGAGTCCCAGATGTGATCACGGACATGATGAGGAGTCTCGAAATGTTCGAGACAAAAATATTGATATATTGGACGGCTATATTCGGACACCGAAAGTGTTCCGGATGATTTCAGAGAAAACCGGAGTGCCGGAGGGGTTACCGGAACCCCTCGGGGAAGTATTGGGCCTTAGTGAGCCTTAGGGGAGAGAGAGGGCAGCAGCCCAGGAGGTGCCCCCTCAAGGGGAGTCCGAATTGGACTAGAGGAGGGGGGCGCGGCCCCTCTTTCCCTCTCCCTCTCCCTCTCCTTCCTTCCCCCTTCCCCTCCTAGTTGGACTAGGAAAGGAGGACTCCTCCTCCCCTCCTTGGCGCGCCCCAAGGGCCGGCCGGCCTCCCCCCTTGCTCCTTTATATACGCGGGCAGGGGGGCACCCAGAGACACACAAGTTGACATTGTTTAGCCATGTGCGGTGCCCCCTCCACAGTTACACACTTCGGTCATATCGTCGTAGTGCTTAGGCGAAGCCCTGTGCCGGTAACTTCATCATCACCGTCACCACGCCGTCGTGTTGACGAAACTCTCCCTCGGCCTCAACTGGATCAAGAGTACGAGGGACGTCCCCGAGATGAACGTGTGCTGATCGCGGAGTTGCCGTACGTTCGGTGCTAAGATCGGTCGGATCGTGAAGACGTACGACTGCATCAACCGCGTTGTCATAACGTTTACGCTTTCGGTCTACGAGGGTACGTTGACACACTCTCCTCTCTCGTTCCTATACATCACCATGATCTTGCGTGTGCGTAGGAAAAATTTGAAATTACTACGTTCTCCAACACTCCTCCTGTTGATCGCAGAACGGATATGCACATTGGTGTGGGAGCCCTCTTCAGGCCAATCTATCGAACGTCCAACATTTGTTGGTGAGCGCGAACCATGCGGAGAGCCAGCAACATAATGGCGCTCCCGTTTCCCAAGTGAAAGCTGGTTGCGGTGGGAGATACCTCCGAAGCTTCAAGCTTGGCCGCGTAGGCAGACTTGGCGAAGAAGAGGCCATTTTTCTCCCACGACCACCTTAACTGGCCCCGCTGTTGCATGCCTAACCGCGCCACCGCCACCATAGGCCACACATCCAGGAAATTGCGTCAATGTTTCGGCTTCGATTGACGCCACCACATCCCTTCCCAAGTTTCATCTGATAAAGCCTCAAGGACTGTGTGTGTCGACTTGATTCTCTCGGGCACTCTCGTGTAAACTTGTGGGGCAAGTTCCTCTAGCCGAAATCCATCGGGTGATCTACCCTCCCAGAAGAGGGTGTCGCGCCCTGTCGCCCAATGTGAACCTCGTTGCAGCTCGCAAGATTTCCTTTGATTCACAGTTTTGGGGTCATGCTTTCGTTTTATTTTAGAAAAAAAAAAAAGCAGTTTTGGGGTCATGATTTCTGTCCGGCGACGATGACTCGCACACGATCCTTGTGTATGGCGACATTTGATGCGGCGGACGTTGTTCTCTTCCTCGGATGCGCAACCATCTGTGATTCGCTGCTTCAGGTTACGGTGCCACTTGCAGGGGAGCTTCAAGTGCCTCACCTCGGCCGGGGCGGGGCGGGGGATGCGAGACTCAAGCAGATACGTGCTGCACTGTGGTGGTGTAAACCGCAGCCAACCAAACCGGCGGTAAATGGCATCATCGTCCAGCAACGCTCTCCACTTCTCCCAAGGAGTGCATCTGATTGGAGTGAAGGGACATCCACGTATATTCGCACTCTGTGTACTGCACCTTTAGACCGTCGTGTGCTCATAACCAGCCAGGGTTCAAAAGAACTCAAAGCACATTCCATGAGGAGTGAAAGTTTGAAACGCACCACAAGCCCTGAAACTACGCGAGTGGCACGGTGAGCAGCCATTATTCTGGCGCACAAGAGGAAGCAGTGCAGCATGCAAAGCCAAAGACCCCCCGTTGGATCCAACTTATACGGCATTGAGGAAGGTTCCATTAAGGACTACGTAGTTTGTTTGTTTTTTTTTGAAACTGAGGCAAAAGATTTGCCTCGTCATTAACTAGGGAGAGAAGAGAGTTTTACAATTATCCCGAATAACCTGGGAGTATTAAGGGCTAGTAGTTTATGAAGCAAAAGGAAATTGCATCACTGTTCCCCACCACAGCAATCTGAAGCCACAGAAGAGCCTGAAACCAAACACTCACTTCGTGCTGGTGAGGACACATCCGAATCTCACACCGGAACACGGAGTAATAGCAAACATGTTTCACCAGCAAATAAATAATGCTGCACGGAGTATATTACTTATTTCTAGCAACCAGCAGCAGAGCAGATAAACAGCATCTCGTGCATTGCATGTTATGATGCACGGCGTCCAGGATAAGCAAGTTCCACTGACCAGCATAGTGTACAACATCCAGGATAAGCAGGTTTCACTGACCAGCATAGCAATGATGTGCATAGGAATGCAGCCATATCATAAGAATCTGATTTACTTATTTTCAGAATTTTGTTTGGCCCAAACGTATTTTGGCCAAGTTGGTCATTGAAAGCCTACATGGCTTTGAAAACAGAGTCAAGAGGCGGAAGCAATATCAAGAAACCGAATCGCATTGAACTGTTTCATGTGAATTCTTCACATTCCAAATGTCTTGTATCCTGCGGTCGTTCACCTGAGTCAGAAGTATTCAGGCAAATGTAACTTGCACTTCTCGGAAGGAAAAAAGACAGCAAATTGCATACCGCTCTGCATTTACATGAAAGAGCAGCCCATGTCAAGAAAGCTCCGATAACTTTAAAATGTGTCCAGCAGATTTACATACTAGGCTGGTGGCAGGGCCTCCGCACACAGGTAAATAAAAGTGCCAAGTGCTAACACAGCACATGCTAGGCTCCCGCTGATCTACACACCGGAAATCACTGGGCAAGGATAAAGCCAAAAAGGAACTCCCAGGCTCGCAAACGATTCTAAACCGAAGAGGCAAACCTTACGAGCGCCGCCACTTTAAAATCTACAAGGCAAAGTATTCTGGACACAGTCAGAAAGCGGCCGAGCATGTTCTCCTGAGTTGGTACTTGGGTTCTGGTAGAGGCACCGAGCAAAGCATCATGTTCAACTCCTGAAGGTAGGGCAGAAAAAGGTCAGCATGTCAATGTTATGCATGGAAGATTCGCTAATAGCATCAGAGTGGATAAACATTTGGCTGAAAGCAGGATTAGACAGGAAATAAGCACAAGAAATTTGTTGACAGATTGTTAATTAACCCCTGGTGCCACAACCCTTGTATCAGTGATAAAGGACTACCATGTACTCCCTCCGTTCCTAAATATTTGTCTTTTTAGAGATTTCAAATGAGTACCACATACGGATGTATATAGACATATTTTAGAGTGTAGATTCACTCATTTTGCTCCGTATGTAGTCACTTGTTGAAATCACTAGAAAGACAAATATTTAGGAACGGAGGGAGTATTCCGTACTATTTTTCGCCACAAAAGAGAAATAATGTACTGAAATTATGCAGTACAAGAAAATGAAATGTGAGTTCTATAAACATGTTTCAATCTGACAGATCCCTCCTAATCTTAAAGCACCTAAAATAAATCATTCCACTCAATTACCACTTACAATCATAGTATAGCTAATGCATCTCTACAACTAAAACCTGAACCCACAAAATGGTGCAGTAATCAAATCTACACTTCCATAGAAGCAGACAGAGTCAATACATGATACATATCCGGATATCTCTCACTCACAAGATTGGGCTTCTTTGATTCAAAGGATTTGCGAAGGAATTTTGGAGAATTCTAATCTTTAGGAATTTTTCCTATGTGGGTTGTTTGATTCATAGGATTGCAAACCATAGGAATTTTTCCTTAGGATCAGTTGCACTAGGTTTCATGGGAAATTTTGCATCTACTCCAATTTCTTTGAAAGAATCCTCGGTTTTTCCTGTGCACAATCAAACATCCTCACAATCCTGTAGTATTGAAGATGACATGCCACTCTATTCGTACATTTTTCCTATTCCCGAATTTTGGAAATCATGCGAATCATAGAAGCCCTAAACGATGGTGGTCATATAATCTTTTAGATAAACTGATGATGCAGAGACTGGATAAAACCTCGTTTTCCCTTGCAACACCACTATTTCTAACATCACATACCATGTTAGCACTGTGATATTATTTTTCAGTCACGCTCTTGAAGTGTCCCTAAAGGCTCTATGCTCCCTAGGAATAGAGCTCTGGGAGAGCTCCTGTGGTTTAATTCTTGGAGTTGACCTCATATGTCAGTGAAAGGTCGCGGTATGGGCCCCTCCTGTCCCTGCAACCGCTGTTCCTGGGTTAGTCAAACTCCTCCCTGCGCCGCTTGTCGTTTCGCTCCCCTCCATTTTCCGCACGCCCAGGTTTCTCTCTTCGACTCCCCTATCTTTCCAGGAATATGGTAACTAATCCCACAGAATAACTGAGCACCAGGTACATAATATCCTGCTGACCGTAACCTGACATATCCATGGTAACAAATCCTCCCTCTCTCTCTAAAAAAACAACAAATCCTCCCGTGTAGACATTCCTAATCAGGAGTATCTCACATAATGCATAACCCTGCTGATTATATATGCATTCCCATAATCAGATGTATATCTTTTTTCAGGGCAATCAGGAGTATAAAACTCTTGTAATATGTATTTCCCTTTTATCACTCTTATACATTATCAGGTCTATGTCATCCGGAAAATCTACAGCAGACAGTTCCTGGTTCCTACCTCTCTATTGCAACCTATAACTGAAGTAGACTCTACCTTTAGAGCTAGACCGCAGACTTATTGTGCTAAAATTTCTAATGCAGGGAGCAAATCAGAAGTGTTCATTAGAATATCCAACAAGAACTTAATACAGTTCTCTCATGAAATCAAATGAGCCCCTATTGTCTTCTAGTTTTTCTTTTTCTACCATGTAATTCATATTAGCACAGTGCAGCCTTATTTGGTCATGTAAATTGAGGTAAATGCAGTAAACTCCAATATCCAATAGAAAAGTGGTAGCCTCGTAGTTCATTGTACATTAACCTATTAATATAATAAACCAACAGGTCGAATTGTCCATTGTACACCAGATTGTTCCTATCCCACCCAGTAATGGCTGGGCCCCAGTAGTGGAAGCAGATACATAGGATTATAGTATGATACTCTCATACCCGTACACCAAAAGGGGGTAGCTTAAGTGCTTAACAGTGCAAACTATGAAACTGACACCAGCTGCCAATACGAGCAATCACATTTATTCCCTGCTACTTATCAGGTAGTCCAACTTCCACTGAAAAGTGTGGCATTTCAGTAAACTTGTATTGAAAAGAAAATACCTTTTGCTTCTTTAGCCTCTCATTCTCCTCTTCCAAACGGGATACCTTGTTTTCGAGTTCATTAGTGTAGGCCTGTTGCAAATACAATGTAAGTGATACTGACCCTAAGACAATTATGGAAAAGTAAAGTAAGCCTATTGTAACACTTTTCAGATCACAGATCACAAGAAAAGCCAAATTCAAACAAGTACCGTTGATAACCCTTCATGAATCTTTATCTATAGTTCCATTGCTATAAAGAAAGAATTAGAGGGAAAAAAACAGAGAGGTGAAATATACCTGCTTCCTAGCCCTTGAACGGGCAGCCGACTCCCTATTCTTGATCATCCTCTTCTGCCTTCTCTCCACAAACTTATTGGGGACATCTCCTGATACACCACGCTTTCTCCCAGGTGTCTGAGAATCAGAGATTGGACTGATCATTGGTGATGTACTCTGTCCATCAGAGTAAGCAGACCCCAGAGTGGCACCAGGGCCAACAACATTCAGTGGCTGAGGGACTAACTGAATGGGCATATAAGCAGCTGGCACAATTTGTTGCACATGCTGATGAGTGTTGATGGCTGAAGCTGCAATCTGCTGCTGGTACTGGCCTAACCACTGTGCCCCAGATGTCAAATCGGTGGCTCCAGCTGCTGTGGCACCTCTCCCCATCAGACCCAAATTGCCAACATCGCTCGTGTCCTTGAGAAATCCCTGGGAAACAACCCCTGCTTGGACCAAGAAATCCTCGAGTGTCATCTCCCCGAGCGTGGGCTGCCTCTCCCGCTTGCGCCGACCACTCCCCTGGACACTCCTCTTGGGTGTCTCCTGGATGCCCTTCCACACCTCATCCACCGTCTTCTTGCTGAGCTCGGTCGGCATGGTGATGCTGCCCTGGCGCAGGAGGCTTGAGCTCGGCACACACTGGCTGGTGGTCGCGCCATCGGGCTCCAGGTCGTCAGGAAACACGGTCCTGAGCAGCTCGTCGAGGTTCATGCTCTGCAGGGGCTCTCCCAGATGGTTCTGCACCTCGTCGAGGGTGAGGCTGTACAGAGACCCCTGCCTCGCCAGGCTCTGCACCTGGCCGCGCTGCGATGTGCCGGCGTCGCCGCGCCCCGGCTGTGACGTGCCGGCGTCGCCACGCCCCTGCTGTGACGCCATTTTCCGACTCCCCATGAGCACGCAATCCTACCTCCGCCCGATTTCTGCCGCGGCGAGACCTCGGGGTTCAGGGGGCGGATCTAGGGTGTGCCGGATGCGCGCCGGCGCGCCTAGGAACTGCGGGGGTCAGTGTGGTATAACGAATCACAGGGTGAAAACAAGCTCGTACCTCAGAACCCAATGGCTAGAGATTGAGGGCGGGGTGGACTGGAGACAGCAGGGGCGCGATGCCGCGGTGGGGAAGGGCGCGGACGGCGGTGGCGACGACGCGCGTGAGAGGCGGAGGGGTTGGGGGGCGTGGGATTGAGGCGGCGGGCGGTGGCGCTAGGCTCCGGCGTACGGCGCGGCGGCGGGAGAGATTTCAAGGTGGGCTGGGTCGGGTGGGTAGGTCGCTGTGGAGAAGAGAGACGAAGGTATGGGACTGTGGCGTGGCAGAAATACATAAACAGAAGTAATTTATGGCCTCTTTGTTCAACAATCACACTGGTTAAGAGTTGGAGTAAAAGTTGAGAGGTCAGTGATGGTGACCAAGTTTACATGTAATCATTGTCAGCGGTCTCGCTAGTCTAGTTTAGTTATTAATGAGATTGACCGTCTTTCCTGTAAAAGAAAAGATTGCTACTCCCTCCATCACAGTATATAGGGCGCCGATGGCGTCGCTCTGGGACCAAGGTGCCTTCTGATAGGCAGGGATTAAGGAGTCGATTGTGCTGCGAAATTGATGGCAAGGCGCCTAATGAATCGCTAAAATGACGCTTGGTAACCTCCCCGTCCAATAAAAACTGAAACAGAGCGCATGCATTGGTGGAGCCGTTTCTGAGCGAAATTTTAGCGGGTTTCTTCCTCCTCCCGCGCCATTCCTTCCTCCTCCCGCGCCATTCCTTTCTCCCCCGCTCGGTTTCCATCTCCCGCCGATGTGCTGCCAAATACAAAACGAAAATTTCGGAGTTCAAAGCTCCCGCCGATCCGCTCTATAATTAGATGCGGCGATGGAGGGACACGTACAGACGGCATCTTCTCTCCTCCCTCCTCTCTCCAATGACGCCGCCGCAGCAATGTGCAGATCGCCGGCCTCCTCCTCTTGGCCTCCGTGGGCTTTCTAGGGTTGCTTTCCAGCCGAGATCGCCGCCGCCCGGAGGTCTTCCTCCTCTTGGTCTCACCGGACGCTCTGGTGCTCCTTCCTTCTCCATCGGCACGACAGGTTTCGAGCGTCTTCCTCCTCCTACAACTTTGCCTCGACGGCACGTCGGCCTCACACGCCCATCTCGCGCTCCGGCACCTAACGAGGCCGGTTCCTCGAACTGGAGTGCCTCCGTCGGCGAGGCCGGTACAGGCAGCGGAGGGTTCGTGGGGTTTCACCTCATCAATGGCAGCGGCGGGATCTTGTTTGGCGGTGGCGGTGGCGGCGTGATCTCGTTTGGCGGTGGCGGTGGCGGTGGCAGCGGGATATCGTTTGGCGGCGGCGGCAGCGAGTCCCTGGACTTCACGTTCAGAACCGGCGCCGGTGCCAATCGGAGTGAAGGATCCTCCCATGGTGGAAGCAGAGAAGGTAAACCCTAGAAACCCTATAGTCTCATAGATCATGCAATTTTTGTCTGTCACTTTGAATCAAGATTAAACCCTAATTGTTTCGGTTGATGTTGATGGAGTACTCATGTTTCTGTTACTTCATGAGAATTGCATGTTTCTGTTGATGGAGTACTCATGTTTCGGTCATGATGGACTACTCATGTCCAGATCAATAGAGATAATTGTTTCTAAAATCACATAAACAATCATTTTCATGCACATTTGTTTCTAAAATCACATGGTTACTATGCTTCATTTTCACAAGGTATTGGTGGAAATGAGGGTACCATTGGCTACCGAGGGCCTAGATACAACCCAAATTTTTCACATGCCGACGAATACCCTCCTAGTCAAGAGGCTGTTCAAACTCAAAGACAACCTATCGATTTGAGTAAGCTCATTTAGCACATTTTTGTCTTTCACTAACCTTCCATATTTTTTATTTGTCTAATTATTTTTCCAATGCATCTAGATGTTTTGTCGAACAAGGAGACAAGAAGACAGTACCGTATCGATGATAGGCGTCACATATATACTGAGATCATTGCCCGTAATGGTACGGGTAATAAGTTGAAGCATGGAGTTTCTAAAGCTGTTGCACTAGCTTGTAAATGTCCTAGGAGGATAGTGCAAAGGGTATGGTGCTACTATTCGAGTAAAGGGTATGGGTTTTGATAGTGCAAAGGGTATGGTGCTACTAAGAGAGAGATCATCAAGCACAAAGGGTCTATCCACTACGCAGTTCCTCACTTGAAGAAAAAAGCATTAGAGAGACAAGGACTTCTCCTGGTTCGTTTGACGATTGATCTAGAATATGTTGAGCAAGCAATTGAGTTCTTGAACTCAACATGATTTGTACTGCCTCATGTGATGGTGCTACTATTCGAGTATTAGTTTCATTAATCTTATCAAAAAAATTGTGGACTGTTTTGAACTGAAAGAGAGCAAACTCCACCACGCCTTGCACCTCCATGGCAGCGGTTTTATACATGTTGCATGCGGGAGCCGAAGGAGAGAGGGAGGGAGAAACTGCATGCGGGAGTAGGCTCATGTTCACACTTGCATGCCTCACATGCACTCATGTTCACACCTGCATACGGGAGGCAAAAGAATTCATGTTCCCACTAGCCAAACCATGCATGCGGGAGTACTAATGCTAAGTAATTAATAGCCTAATTAAGGAGGTACGCCCTATTTCAAAGGGATTGTGAAAAAATCTGGTTTTGAAACTGCGCCCTATATACTGTGATGGAGGGAGTACTAGTTTTTCCTTCAAGATCAAAAGGGTTTTATCCCGTCATGGTAAAGTTACAATCTTTGACAAGAGATTTTCGACAGCAGGGGGTCCTTTGCCGAGCCACACAACCGTAGCTCGCTCAGAGCGACTATAGCTTGCCAGGCAATCTACAACACTATTTTGTGACCTATGAAGTTTCGGTAGAAGAAAAACCCTGTCGATCATTAGAGCCTTGACTTGAGCCACTAACTGACCTAACATCGATCGATCTAAACTAGAATTTGAAAGACAAGATAAGGCAGTCGATGAATATGACTGAACCAACACCAAAAGCTTTGTATGTTGTCTAGCAAGCACCATATCAATCATCAACATATGTATGTCTGTCTGTCGACCTTCACTCCAGTTAAATAGATATCGATAAGCTGTAAAGATGACCGAGCCGTCATGTCTCCAGAGGATCACCCCCACTACCGCAATGCCATCCTCCTCCGGGAAGGAACCATCTAAGGACAAAGTCGTCATATTATTCGGAGGTGCAGGCCACTGTACTAGTTTTAAGGGTGTGTACAACAATACTAGTATTCTAGAAGCACCACATGAAACAAATATTAAGGTAGAGGAGAGAGAAATCAAAAGAAAAGGCTTGCCTCTCTTGATTAAAAGATGATCACTAATGAATTACACATTGATAATTAGGCATGTAAAGATCTCTTATGCACACGATGCCGAGAGCACAACTTGATGGGGTTACCAAGCTACTCAATGACACCCGGAGTAGGAGGCGTTTTCGATATCCTTTGTGGCAGTGATTGTCGGTGTAAAAACCGGCAGATCTCGGGTTGGGGGGCCCAAGTTGTGCGTCTAAGGACGATGGTAACAATGGACGAAGGACACAGTGTTTACCCAGGTTCGGGCCCTCTTAATGGAGGTAAAACCCTACTCCTACTTGATTATATTTGAAGGGTATAGGGGTTACAAGAGTTGATCTACCACGAGATCGTATTGGCTAGCTTAGTAATGTTATGATCCTGCCTTTGGTCTAACTCTTCGGTTTATATAGATATCGGAGGGGCCTAGGGTTATACAAAGTCGGTTTAACAGAAAGGAAATAGCATATCCAGACACCTAAACTTGCCATCCACGTATACGGGAGTCCCTACCGGACACGAGAGGTAGTCTTCTGTCTTGTATCTTGACGGCCATCAGTCCGGCCCATATCCAATAGGCCAGACGCGCGAGGACCCCTTAGTCCAGGACTCCCTCAGTAGCCCCTGAACTAGTGTTCAATGACAACGTGTTCGGCGTGCAGATTATTTTCGGCATTGCAAGGCGGGTTCCTTGAATAATACACATCAGCTTTCCTCCGTAAGAGAATTGTATCCGGCTTTGCATAATTAACACAACCCTTAGCCACGAAGGCAGGATATATAAAAATAAGAATGGTGCCTTTTACTGACAACTTTTTTCGGCGAAGCGTCAAACTTGACCCTTCGACATTTTGAACCGTTTTCACACTCTGCGTTCCGTGTTTTGAGGCCAAGCCCCATTGGCCCGTCCTGTCAAAGCAGAGATCGTGCCCACTTAATACGGGATTGCTCATCAATAAGATTTGGGTAATCCAATCGTTTACAACGCACGCTTTCATTGGGAATAGGCGAGTTTCAAGGCACAAGTGGGGGGACGGTTGGCATTTTTACTGCCTATAAGAGGGCAATGGATTTCTCCTTTCTCCCCCACACCTTCCAGTCTCCTCAGCCTTCCAATCTCCCAAGCTCTTAGCGCCCGAAATGTTTTCGTCTTCCTCACCACCACCACCACCTCCTCCGACCATGGCCGAATCCGGTTCCCAAGGCAAGTGGGAGGCGTCCTTCGTCACGGAGAAGGAGATAAAGGATCCCCGGAGTGCGGGATACCTCGCCGCCACCATCGCGCACAGGCTTCCCCCCAAGGGTCAAATCATTCCAACTCCGGAGCCCGGCGAAAGGGTCGTCTTCCTTCCCCATTTCCTTGGAGGGTTAGGTTTTCCACTCCACCCATTCGTCCGCAGCCTTATGTTCTACTACGGGCTATATTTCCATGATCTAACCCCGAACTATTTCCTCCACATCTCGGCATTTTCGTCGTGTGTGTGAGGCTCTTCTCTGCATTCACCCACACTTCAGCATGTGGCTGAAAGTCTTCAATGTGAAGCCGAAGGTGGTCGATG